GACTGCTAAGGCATCTCGGTTGACCTTTTAGGGTTGATCGGTGACTTTTTATGAAAATTACCGGGACCCATCTTAGCATATTTCGATGCTCTGATTCTAAATCTGCACTCCGTTTTCCCAAATTTAATCATTTTAGTGGAGTTTTACTAATGAGTCCCAATATAATGCTTAAGTGCGATTATTATTGGAGACTTCGGCTTCCCTAGTTCGAACAGCTGTGACCTCACAAGTATCTGTGAGTCAGTCTTTTCTTTTATATAGTATATATGTTATTTGATTTTCCATATATATTTTAATAATGCATTTTCTAAGCGATGCCATAATTAGATTGACGTTAAAGAATTGTCGCAATGAAGAAAATTGTGAGATCATTATGAATCCTACAGGATTCACATGTATGCATATTATTACGGGGTGCCTTAATTATATTTTCGGCCATGAATAGTATTATGTTGACTAGAATTATCGATTTACCGTTGCATGATCATATTTACGTTATCTACTCATCGTGTGCTGCACTGGTGTTAGTACTTGCCCGGGGCTAGGGTCCCATTCTTGGATTTCAATGTTATAATCTACATATTTGTATTATTGAGATTTTATATTATTTTTCGATAATTTATATTAATTTAGTTGAATTTAGATTTTAATTAAACTATTTACAAAGTTTGAAGTTGGAAATTATTTATTTAAAACTTGTAGGCATTTCGAGGTCACAATTTATATATTTGGATAGAGCTCAATCTCACGAACGCGTAGGCGCAAACCATTCGTGAAACGGAGCTATAACGAAGAAATTAGAGACGTTTTGGTATTTAAAAAAAAAGAAGAAGAAAGAAATGAGGGACTGGATGCTACCAGGTGGCAACGGGAGAGAGAAGAAGATGAGGTTGTGGGAGAGAAAAGGAGGGGAGATGAGAGACCCGAAATGAGTCATTTTTCACCCGCGAACCACCATTTTTGATCCGGCCATATCTTCTTCATCCGACTTCCGTTTTGGGTGATATTGGTGTTCATGGAAAGCTCTTGACGAGTCCTACATCCTTGTAGTGTTAGATTTCCATTTTTCTTTTCCATTTTCCAAGGTCGAAGCGACAAAGTACCCAGGGATTTCCTGCGAGTTTTCTCATTTTACGATAATTCTGACAATGATTACCATCTATCACCATAACCAATAGACTCCCCTCAACCCCTAGAGCAAGGCCCAAGCATTGGATGAGGCGTCGGAGTTCGTTTTCGCGATGAATCAAGGAACACCAATTTCTAGGGTTTCCGGTGGTTTTGGATGAAATTGGGACACTTCCCGGCTGAATTGGACTTGGCCACAGGTATGAAAATTTATCCCCTCACTGAGATTTTATTGTTTGTAAAATTTGGTAATATTTGAAAATAGTTGAATTTTTCGACGAGTCGGGGCGACTGACTACCACCCACGACGGCATGTGCGGTGGCGTGGGGCCATTGGGCTAATGGGCCAATGATGTCTTCCTAAGTTCAATTAGATGTCCTCATTCCATAATTGATATCTGTATGATATAATTTGATTGTTTGAAGTTAGTTTCATTAGGATACATTACTTGATCAAAATATGAATCACCAATCCGAACGTTGGATCATTACCAAACCTTAATGTGTTATAGAACATAATATTTGAGGATAACTGGAGCTAACAGATCGGGAATCCGATGTACGGACCTTCCCGAATTAGATTTCTAAGTTAGTAAAATTAATTGTTAACCGCCACCTAATTCTAGCAATTGGCGGAGATCCAACCGTCGGATCGCGATGATATTTTAGTCTGTTGTTCTTTGAGAATAATGTGGACCTTAGGAAGTTACGGATCTAGATTATTATGTGCAGATCTTTCGGATTAAATTGCTAGGGTGTGGACCCCACCATTGTCATTTGGTCAACATGTCTTGAACCATTTGAATTACTAAAATTAGTATTACTAGAGACTCAGTCAAGCTTTGTGGACTTGTCTCGGTGAGTGACTTTAATATATGTGATATGGTGATTACCCGATTCTTTATATTAATATCCTTTGTGGATATGACATAGTTTTATAAATGTGTTTTCTGTTAAAATGTGATTATTTTATAATTGGCCATCAATCTATTTTTATTAAATGTGATTTGATTCATGGATTGGTAATATTTGTGAAAAAGTGATTCGAATTGCATATTGAAATGTTTTGTAAATTGAGGGCTAATAGGGGACTATGACCTTGCTTGGTTAATCCGCATTGGGGAATCATACAATATATGGATCATGCTTGGTTAATCCGCGTTGGGCGATCCTTATGGCCATTTATACTTAGGGGTGATCATGCTTGGTTAATCCGCGTTGGGTGATCACTGCCTAATAGTTATGTAGGTGTGACTCTGCTTGGTTAATCTGCGTTGTGGGTCACTACCTACCTAATTATCTTGACCCTGCTTGGTTAATTCGTATTGGGGGGTCACTAGTGGTCCTGCTTGGTTAATCCGCATTGGGGAACCATACTATATGTGGATCGATCTTGGTTAATCCGCGTTGGGCGATCCTTATGGCCATGTATGCTTAGGAGTGATCATGCTTGGTTAATCTGCATTGGGTGATCACTTCCTAACAGTTGTAGGAGTGACTCTGCTTGGTTAATCCACATTGAGGGGTCACTGCCTACTTGGTTACTTTCTCAAGGGTGGCTCTGCTTGGTTAATCCACTTTAGGGGGCCACTTCGTGTTTGGTTACTTATGTAGGCTTCGGCTGAACTGCGTCCCTTTAGCCCTAGTTTTTAATGTACATATGAACGATGGTTTTTGATAATCTTGGTGATTTGAATGGGAAAAGTCGTTGGATGTTTGGGTGACTCATTCGGAGTTGTTAGAGACTTGACTATGTTTTCATATTTACGAACTTATATTTGAGGTTTATAAACTGTGTTCGATGATCTTTCTTTTTATTGATTATCACATACTTCTATTATTGTCACTCACCCAAGCTTCCGAGTTTCGTTTGGCCGATGCACCATTTCCATGATGTAAGCACTGATTTTACATATGACAGGTCTGGGTAGATTATGAGAAGCAGCTTGATACTTTGGTTTCGTTGAGTGGTTCGGAACCCAGTGTTGTTGGATTCCGTTGAGTGGTCCGGAATCCTTGCTCTCGCTCATTCCCATAAGGTTAGTCTAGAACCCTAGATTCGAGTGAATGAGAATTACCCACAATAGACCTTGTGAATATAAAATAGATTTATTATGTTATTGCTCATAATCCAAGTAGGAAATTATATAGAGTTCCTTGGTTAAATTCGTGAAATGATATGTTATTGCATTCATTGATTAACATAATTAAATGCTAAGATCATGTATCTTTGATTCATGAATTGATTGGTTGACGGGATTGTGGAATGACCTTGGTTATGGTTGTTATTATTCTAATTATTTTAGTTGATCAATGTGGCTTGAGAATAATATGTGCTTCGTTGGTTATTTGATATGTTACATGCTGTGGATGGAAGTATCATGCTGAAAATATGGAATTTATGTGATGGATAGAATGAGAATCTTGAACAGCATGTTGGTTTGTTTTGTAGCCCTGAACTTGGTAATGTCATGCATGTCAAGTTCTAATAATTGATTACAAAATGCTATGTATTCCTGTTAGAACACACTGGAATAAATGTCTAAATTAGTGAACGACGAACTACGAATGACTTGATTCCTAATGAGGGTACATAGGCAGTCTAACGAGGAGGTTAGATGCAGCCATAAAGTATACGAAAAATTACTATGCGATTTGATTCTCAAGTTGTTATTTGCCGTATCTCGGAGGCGGGGTATATTGAGATACGTGTATTTGGTGACATCACGTGTCGATCTTAGATGTATGTCGGGATTCGGGTGTGACAGCCAGTCTTTCACGTGTATGTTTACTTCGCACCGTACGCTCACTTTGTATCCATTGTAGATGCGAGTCCTGTCCTAGATTGCTATAAGCAATTAGGACTCGTATGTGATGTGCATAACGCCAGTCTTCACGTAATTGTAGTATTAAAACATATATCATTATTACACCCAGTTCTGTTCATGTCATAATATCTCTGCATGAACACTTATGTCAGCATATGTCGATGAACACTCGATATGATATGTTTGTTTATGCGAGATTATGTGATTACCGAACTTTAGGTATATATTTACGAAATACTATGACGAATTGAATTCTTGAGATATTGTTGGTTACGGCAAGTATTTTCATACTATATGTAGTATGTTATATGTGAAAACTATATTTGTTTTATGGCAAGAGGTTATTACATTTGCGAAAAGATTTTTTTACAAAACTTTATTTTTAGGCCATACCTTTGTTTTTCGCCCCTCAAGGTTTTAGTAGTTGAGTTTTGTATCGACGATGATTCTTGGAAAATCTTGATATAGAAGGTTACCTTTGATGGTATAATTCTCAATTTACTCTACTGTACTTTACTTATGGTCTAAGATCACGTGTGAAATGAGTTTATCCTACTCACTAGCGCACTTTAGGCACTTTTATATTTAAATTTATTAACATTTTCCACATTATTACACTTTATGGCTTTGTTATCTTCCTGGTGTTGGCCAGTACAGCTCGATTTGAAGTCCAGGTGGACATTTAGAATCAGGGTGTGTCAGTTTAAAGAAGAAAAGAAATCATGACTTTTGCCTATTAATTTTTTTTTAATGATCTTGGACTAAAATTTCAATCCAAAACTAGGCAAAATTTTTAACCTAGAACTACTGAAGAAAAAAAAAACTATTTTTGGTTTGGAGTTTGTATAAAGAAGAAAAGAAATCATGGCTTTTGCCAATGGAGAAAAATAATTAAAATCAAAAGTGAAAAATGCAAAGTACAAATAAAGGTGAATCCATCCATATGAATATGATTCCGGTCCATTAACGGTCCACCGGTCCGGGAAATAAAAAACTCAAAACCAGATACTAGGGAGGGACCTGCTGTGGGAGAGTGTGGACTCAGCAGTCAAAAAGTCAAGCCCCTAAATTGGCGTGGGACCCACTGCCCTTCCCCCTTCTCTCACAGAAGACAGAACCTCCACGCGACGACAGCCCCAAGCCTCTAACGCCCAAAACTCCCCAAATCCCTAGAATTCACTGATACTTTGTCGCCCTACAATTCGACCTCTTCCTCCTCGATCGCTCAATGCCGGTACGTCTAGCTTGCGTTTCGTTCTGTGCTTAGCTTCTGCTTCCCCGAATTTTGTATTTGCGAGGGAAATTCAGGTTCAATTTGTTGCAATTTCGGAAAACCCTAGTTTCTAATAGTAGCTTAATTCCAGGGTTTGGATTGTTGTAGTGGGGTGCTTGAATTTTTAATCTTTCTTTATTTGTAGTTGTCCAATTTTCCCGAATTATTTTGAATTTAAGCTGTTTATGTGTTTAACATAGTGGTTAATGGTTGGTTTAATTGTTTAAAAAAAGCAGTTTATGGATAATTGCAGTTGTTGAGTTGCTTTTGTTGGTTGGTTAGAAGAATTTAGGATGTAGTTTGGAATCTTGAGTCAGTTTTGCACTTGTTTTGGGACGCTAGGTAAAGGTAGCTTTTTGGTCAACTCTGTTTTCAATTATCTGAACTCAATCCTGTTTTTGGAAAGTGAACTTACACTAAGTTCAACATCAAACCGGGTGCCGGGTGGTGTACCATTTCGGTGTGGACGAGTGCTTTACATGTAGACGGCACTGTATTATTTTTGACAATGATTAGTGTAATCTTTTGACTTTATTATTTAGAACTTATTGATTGTTTACTTAAAGAACAGAGTTTATATTTTGTTTGTGTACTAATTTAGGCTCAATGTGTGTTATAGATATGGTCGGATAACTTCAGAATGGACATTTATTTATGGATATGATTTGTCCAGTACTTGTAGACCGCTGCATTTGAGATTGTTTCTTGAGTGAGCTGAACTAGGTTTTTAGGAAGAAACTATTTGTTGATATAAGCTGGTTCCCTTGGCCTTGAGTAATGGCGGGAGGTGCGAGATTTGAGATGAGTGCAGCCAGTCCAGAGGACTCGGCATTTGCAGGGGGATATTCAAATGGGATGAGAGGAAATTACCCTGGTGCCAGTTTGGATAGGTCTGGAAGCTTCCGTGAGGGTGGTGAGAGTCGGATGCTTAGTTCTGGTGCTACTACGCCCAGGGACAATGCTACTTCGAGAGGAAATTTGCCTCCACTACATCAGTGTTTGATGTTAGATCCTATTACAATGGGAGATCAGCAGTTTGCTTCCTTGGGTGAGCTAAGGAGGGTTCTGGGAATACCTTTTGGCGGCAGTTTAGAAGACAATCCATTTGGAGCAGCTAATTTGAAGCCCCACACTCCAGTGGCTACAGAGGACCTAAAATGGTTCAAAGACAGTGTGCTAGTGGCCTCAAACAAGGCCAGGTAATCTCATTAACTCTGAAATTTCCATTTACACTTGAATCTGTTTATTTGTGGCTCGAGATCCTCTCTAGTGTTCATGTCCTTTTTTATGAAATTAAAGTCTCTCAAAATAAATATAGTTGAACCTTTTAATTATCGAGCTTGTTGGAGGTGGGTGAACCTTGTGATGTGTTTATTTGGGTTGTATTCAAGAAGTTATCTCTCTGCTGATGTTACAACAATTTTTGGTCAGGGTTAGAGCAAAAAGGTTGGATGACTCCATCGACAAATTGAACAGGTATTGTGAAGCTTTAAACTTAAAGAAGCAGCAAAGGAATGAGTTTATAACAAATGAAAGATCAGGTGGGTCAAACTTGCTGAAGATGGGAGCTTCGAGAAACTCTTCAGATTCTATGAATCAAAGGCTGGAGGACAGGACTAAGACTGTTGTGATGAACAGGCGTGCTCGCTCATCGGTCACAGAATTAAGGGTATGTATTCAGAGAGTTTTACCTTGTGGTTTGAAGTTAATTGCTATATATTAACGCCTAATGCTGTAAACAGTGGCAGACATACATGTACGTACATAAGTAAGAATGGTAAAATTTCAATATCTTTGTGGTTTTCTTGCTAATTAGTGAAATTAGTCTTCCAGTTTTCACTTTCTTAAATTATTAAGAAATGTAAGTTCTACATAAAATTAAGGAAGATACACCCTGGGAAGAGAAAATCAAATCAAAATAAAAGGGTTGTACCCATAACATAGGCATGGGAATTTGAAACAACAAGGGCCAACTAGAAATGAAAAATGTAAAAATTTAAGAGGTGGCAAAAACCCACTAAATATTTTTTTATAGAAAGTAGTACCACCCTTTCAGATTTAACATTATCCTGAGCTAAAAGTCTGAGTACCATGACTATAAAATTATTCAGGTTTCAGCTTGAAGGTCTTTAATCCTAACCACATATCTCTAACTTGCTTGAAATTTACCTTTGTTACTTAATTTTGAATCTTGTTTCCATAACACACACATTTGTGGTCAACTTTATTCTTTTAGGCTGAAAGCAGAAGTAATGTGCTGACAAGGCAGCCTGTGGTTGTGGGAAAAGATAGGGATATGCTTAGAGGTGAAGGCTCTGATCTTGTTGAAGAAAAGATTCGCAGACTACCTGCTGGAGGGGAAGCATGGGATAAAAAATGAAAAGGAAACGTTCTGTAGGCACAGTATATAGCAGGCCCATGGATGGTGATGCAGAGCTAAAACGAACCTTACATCATAAGCCTAATGATGAGCCTTGTCCCCAAGCCTGTGATGCCCAAAGTTTCAGGTGACTTTAGACGTTGACAAACATCCACCACCACTTTGTAGAACCAAGAATTTATATTGTCACAATGATTCTATTAGAAGTATATTTATTACATACACTTGCAGCCTAGTTGATTGCTGTGATGACATGCTGTATTGTATTTAAATGGTTTGATGCTACAAGAATTATTAGATGTGCTCGTTGTTCTTTAAAATCCAATTTTTTAACCTGTAATGTAAAATCAAATAGAAAAAAATAGCCACCATTTGAAATTGCCATTTTCTTTATTTTTTCATATTCTGGACAATGTAAATTTCCCCTTCAATGTGTAAATTCTCAAAGCGTGAGTGAAATCATGTGTTGTGTTTGTTATTTCTGATAAACCTATAGTGCAGGGGTTGTATTTGAAACATTTTATTCTCTTCCTACGGAAGTATTGTGGTTTCTTTTTGAAATTGTCTTGTTTCGTACAGTAATCCTTTGACTGGTTTTGCCTCCTTATTAGTTTTGTTTGCTACTAGTTATTATATAAAACAAGAAATCTCTCCACTCTTGCAGATCAGGGTCATTTACTGGTGGTAATGGCATTAACAAGCTAGACTCTAATTCCTTGTCTGCTAATGCAAATGGTCGTATTATGCTCAAGAATGAGTTGGACAAGGTCTCTCTTTCAAAAGATTTAACGTTTGGGTTGACTAAGGAGCGACTTTTACCAAAGGCAAACAATAAGTATGTGCTTGTACTATTCTTGTGCAATAGTTTCTTGTAGGTGCATTGAAGGTTTCTTTGACTGGTTATTACTAAATTTTTCTACCGACTTTTTAATGTCTGATCTGGTGACCATTCTGTTCAGGTTAAATGTTCGCGATGATAGTCAAATACTCAATCCTAATCCAGTGATAAAGGGAAAGGCTTCAAGGGCGCCAAGAAATGGCCCTGTAACTGCATGCAACTCATCTCCTAGTCTTCCTCGCACATCTGGAACACCTGAGGGATGGGAACAACCTCCAAGTGTAACAAAAAATAATTCAGTGAGCGGGGCTACCAATCGCAAACGTCCGGTGCCCACAGGATCAACCACGCCCTCGATGGCTCAATGGGTTGGTCAGAGACCACAGAAAATGTCTCGAACCAGAAGATCAAATCTACTGTCTCCTGTGTCAAACCATGATGAAGTGCAGATACCCTCAGAAAGATGTTCCCCTTCTGATGCGGGTGGTAGATTAAATTCTTTTGGGACCAATGGGCTGCTTCAGAAGAGTGTTGTGAATGGTGCCCAACAAATTAAAATTAAACAGGAAATGGTTTCATCTCCTGTCAGATTATCTGAAAGTGAAGAATCTGGTGCTGGTGAAAATCGTGAAAGTAGATTGAAAGAGAAAGGACCAGGTAGTAGTGAAGTAGGTGAGAAAGCTGTGAATGATGTTCAGAATACTGGTTCTTCAATATTACCTACAAAGAAGAATAAACTGCTCAATAGAGAGGAAACTGGAGCTGGTGTTCGGAGACAGGGAAGGAGTGGAAGAGGATCATCAGTTTGTAGGGCTACCACTGTAGCTACAAGGGAAAACTTGGAAACTCCAGCCTTGGCAAAGCCATTCAAAAGTATGAGGCCTGGTTCTGAGAAGAATGGAAGGTGTTAACTAATTTATTTATTCATTAATGTTTTGTTTCAGCATAAAATGATCTATATTTTCTCACTTTAGCATTTTCCTGTTAAACCAAATCTCGACAGTATTATATTTAAGCTTTGTATTTTTTCTTACTTCAGTAAATCAGGGCGTCCTCCTCTGAAGAAACTGTCAGATAGGAAGGCCTTTACTTTTCCAGGCCATATATCTACCATCGGTTCCCCTGATTGTGCAGGTAGAGTACCAGCATTTCTTTTATTGGTATGTTTTGACTAGGTCTTTTTATTATTTCTTGTTCCAATACCAAAAGGTTATTTGGCTGATTACATTTCTGTATAGGGAACTTTAGTAACACTAAAAAAAGTCATTCTGCAGTCCTTCTCCATCCCTTTATTATTTCACTAGGGAGGAGTGCATGATGATCCTTTTGTAGAGCCAATAGCAGCTCCATTCTGTATATTGCGCCATCTGTTGAAGTTTGACCTTCATTTGGATATGCATGTCTGTACACTCCGTGAATGATGACTGATGAGAATCATCGTTACCGTTATATGATTTCAAACTTTATTTCTTTGGATTTTTGCTCCGACACAAAATTGATTACAATATATTTACTGCCATAACGGTTTGGCTCCTTGAAACTTAAGGGCTGCAATTATATGCTATTGCCTATGATGTTTCAGGTGAGCCAGATGATGACCATGAAGAACTTCTGGAAGCTGCAAATTTTGCCTGTAGCTCCAACAGTATGTTTCCGTGACTAATCTTTCTTTAGAAATATTTATGTACGTATATTATATGCTTAAATTTGTATTATAACTATGTTTTCTCCGTATACATTTTCATTATGGTATTGCTTGGTTGTTTTTGTAGATTTGGCCTGTTCTAGTTCATTTTGGAAGAAAATGGAACCAATATTTGGTCCTGTCAGTTTAGAGGTGGTATCCTACTTCCAGGAGCAGGTAGCAGCTAGAGTTGATCGCTACATCTCACTCAATAAAATTTCTTTTATTAGATTGATATGGTCCCTGACTAATGCTTTCCCTATTTGTATGTTTGCTTTCAAATCAGCTCATATCTGTGGAGGAGAATGATGAATGCATGTCTCTGATGCTAGGCAATACCAATAATGTTTCGGTAATGTCTAGCATATTATTTATTGACACAGACTTTTGATATCTGATTTCTATCTCTGCCATCTTTCTTTACACTAAATCTTGGTTATTTTCCATCCAGTGTCATATGTTATTTGATTAAGACTTGAATTTGGTATCTCATCCTAACTGTGCCACCTCAGACATCTATTTAAGCTTCAGCTTTTAGGCATCCATTATGATTTTTTTTTTTTGAGAATAAACGATAACACTTTATTAAAATAAAAACAAGAATTACAAAATAGTGGATAAGAAATCCACCATGTAGCAAAGCTAGCTAAGACCTCTCAAACAGATCTGAGTACAAGTAACATAACCTCAACCATAATCATTTTACGGTTGCTATCATATCCCACACTATATGAGAAAGAGAATAATCCTTGAACTCATTCGAAACTGATGCCCAGGATTTTCAACGGTGTAGCAACACATTTTCCTTCTATGCTTTGGCAAACGCTGCAAATGGTATCCCACTTTTAAGTTAGTGTTACAAAAGGGTGGTTGCCCAAGTGGTATAATTGAAATTGATCATTTTCTTGCAAATGACATACACCAATAAAGGGAAAAGAATGAAAAATCTATGAATGGGTTTATTCTGTCTGCGATGTTAAATTATTCTAACCGGCTTCGCTTAGTTTCTACTTTACTATTAAGTGTTTCTGAGGAAGACAAGCATTGCGATGTTAATTATGAAGTTATGTTCTTACCCAGGGTGATATTGTGCACGAAGAAAACTTTGTGCCCAAGACTCTTGTTTCTGGACAATACGAGTGGAACGTGCAAGACCAAATTCAAAAAGGAGATATATCTTGTGGAAGATTAGTCTCAAAAGGAACAAAGAAAGTGCCTCCACTGTACCAAAGAGTATTATCGGCTCTAATCGTGGAAGATGACATTAAAGAATTTGAAAATGGCAATGACTGGAGAACTATGTCTTTACAATATAATGGGGACAATTTTCCAGGTGCTACATGTGCCTCTATTAATGTTGAGCCAAGGAACAGGATCGGGGTCCAGCTTCCAAACGATACAGATATGGGTTTGCAGACTCTCAATCAATGTTCCATTGACAATTACCCTTACAATGGGGCCAGTGGCTTTGTGAATGCCACAGGCATCTGTAATCAATTATACAATAATGATTTGTCAAAAGTAGATTTTGGAGAGTTGCATTCAGAGAGTGGGATGCTTCCCTTGTTTTCCGAAAATGGTGCAGATGGGTTACTACATGTGGTTACAAACTCTCCAGGAATTTCTTCCTCTGATTGCCCATATGAACAGATGCCTCTGGAGGATAGACTCTTGTTGGAGCTACAAAGTGTAGGCCTGTATCAAGAAACAGTGGTAAGCTCTTACCCTATGTGTAGTGTTGATACTTAAGTGTTTAGCTCCATGGCCATAAAGTCTATTTTCACTTTACTGAGTTTGTCAGGCCAGTCCTGTTTCTGCCAGAAATTTGCATGTCATGGAGTGCAGAATTAGGATCAGGGCAACTATTTCGAATGGAAGCTCTCTTTCTGTCTGTTGCCTTTTTCAACCCCTTTCCTACAATAATTTAACAACTTACTGTTTGCCTTGTCTCAGCCTGATCTAGCAGATGGAGTGGACGAAGCAATTGATAAAGATATTGTTGGACTACAGAAGCTACTTCACCAACAGGTTATGGCTCTTAGATATCACCTCTTATGAACATAACCACGTTTCCACATTTCACCTCATTAATATGATTGCCCCATTTTGTCATGCAATTGGTCCATTCCGAGTAATTTCTTCACCTTTCCCATTTTATCTCATAGTTTACTAACATAATTGCATTCTGATTCTGTAGGTTGATGGGAAGAAGATACAGTTAAACAAATTTGTTAAAGCAATTGAAGAAGGCATGGACATCGAAAGACGGTATACTATTCAGTACATTAGATGATTTCTAGAAATTTGTAGTATACTTGTATATTTTTTTGGTATGAAAATCAACACAAGAACCGATTCTTTTGATTCTGTGGAAGTTTTAATCTTATGTGGCTAAATTGCAGGCGCCGCGAGCAGGTTGCTATGGACAAGCTTGTTGAGTTGGCTTTCAGAAAGCTTCTGGTACTTTTTTCAATTTTCTTATTGGGATGGGATTCGAACTTGCATGTTCCAAGCATCAGTTACTTACATCTTGATTGAAGTGCAAAAAAAAAAAAAAAAAAAAAAAAAAAAAATTGATGTCCTTTAACTGGAGCATGTACCCACATTCTGCTGAATTTTAACTGTAGCATGTTAAGTATGAAGTATTACTTTAGACCATAAAAGGTCTCATTTTCTTGTTTCTTTAGGCCACTCGGGGAAGTATTGCTTCAAAATATCGGATTGCTAAGGTTTCAAAACAAGTTGCCATTGCTTTTATGAAGAGGACTCTTGCTAGATGTCGAAAATATGAAGAAACTGGAAAAAGTTGCTTTAATGAGCCTGTACTTCGAGATGTCATTTTCGCTGCATCGCTTCCCAGTAGCAATGGAGAAACCATGAAATGCAACAGCATAAGTTCGCCACTTGAAAATCAAAACTCTCAACAAGAACCTGGGGTTTCAGGTTAGTACTTTTAAGTACTTAGATGTTTTGCTTTTAAGGAGTATTTGTTGGTTTAGCACACGTTTTTTTTTTTTTTTTTTTTTTTTGTGTGTTTGTAAATGTTTAGAATTTTATATGCCACAGTTTTATAGTTAGAGGTCATATATATCAGACAAAACCAATGCACAGTTTTATTTCTCTCCCATGATTTGGACCTTTTCCAAACATCTCTGATTTATTTATGGGAGCTGTTGTTGGCACACGAAAAAGGTCCTCCAAATTTATAAAAATACAAGGAAATCTGTATAGGGAGGAGTGCACTATTTTTGGAGTGCTAATAACAACACCCTTTATTTATAGTTATCTTTCTTGCAGAAACTTATTCTCAGTTGAACTGCTTTTTGTAAATGCCTTCTCTCTTTTCTTTCCACAGGTTCTTCCAAATGGGCAGAGCGGCCTGATCATCGTAATAAGCATGACTGGGGTTCTTCTGGTATGTCCAGTCTTACCCATCCCACTGAGCAGGTTACAAAAACTGGACCAATATTGTACAGAGGGAAAAAGAAGGAAGTTCTGCTTGATGATGTTGGCAGCCCCTCCTTGAAAGCTGCATCAAATCTTGGTACTGTGTTGGGTCGAGCAAAAGGAAAAAGAAGTGAGAGAGAAAGGGACAAAGATACATCAGCCAGGAATTCTGTTACCAAAGCTGACCGTCAATCATTGGGTAACAATAAGGGTGAGCGTAAAACCAAAACAAAGCCCAAACAGAAGACAGCTCAGCTATCAACTTCAGGAAATCGGTTGATTAGCAATGCCCCTTCAGCTGGATTTGTTGAAGTTGTTGGCAATAATAATAACAGTAAACGAGAGATTGAGCCCACATGCTATAATGACATTCCTCAGGGTCCTACAGAGACCAAGAAACAAATGGATTTTGCAAACTTGCATCTGAATGATTTAGACTCGATAGAACTAGGAGTAGCCAATGACCTTGGTGGCAACCAAGATCTGAGTACTTGGTTTAACTTTGATGAGGATGGTTTGCAGGACCATGATGCAGAGGGGCTTGACATTCCTATGGATGACCTCTCGGATTTGAATATGCTTCTGTGAGGACGACAGTAAACTGTATATTTCCTTGGATTACTTGACCATTTAGACAAGACTGATGGTGCTATTGTCAGAGGGCAACCTGCCAATATAAGTTTTGGCTCTGGCAAACAAGCACATGTAATTATGGCCATTTTTTGTATACTCATCCGAAGATGTTTAAAAAAGGAAAATAAAAACAAATCTCAATTGTTTGTGTAGTGCAGATGAATTCTCATCAGAACAAATAACAGTTTTCTTTTGAGCATAATTTTGCCTCTGTTCATCTTTCTATTCTCTAGCATTGCTGACTCATTTTTCCGCGGCAAATAAATTTAAGTGCTTACTGGAATCTAGGTGCCAGTGCTAACTGCTAACTACTTCCCTTCCAATTTTATATAATTTTGATGTACTTTTTGTGGCTGTTATTCTGCTTATGTGCACTAATGAGAATCCTATGCTGACAGTGATGGTGAATTATTCACTAGTATTGATTTTCTTGGGAAATCAAGTGGAATCTGGTTAAAAGGTACATTCTTATTTTGTTGGGTATTATTTATCTGCCTTATGGCTGGGATTGGTGTCTACAAGAGATCATTTGCCTCGTTGCACAGTTTCAGGCTCAGCACCAGGGTATGCCTTTAAATTTACAGTTATTTTTTTGGTCAATATATGTCTCCCCATAAATGAAGTGAATGCCTGGAAGATCTTGGTAATATTTGTTGTAGTAGGTAATTTTGAACTCTTTCCTAAGAAGACCGGTTTTGACGTAACAAATAGAGAGGCTCATTAAAAAATTTCATTCACTCTTGACCAAATAAATCTTTCTGGATTCGTTTTTATGCTTTTTCCATGCGAAGCCCACAGGTGTTCATTCCTTCTTTTTCTTTTTTTAATAATTTTTTGTCCCTTTACCATTGAAGTTTGAGGCCTGGAAACAGGATTTATTAAGGTAGGCTATTTCCTTTCATATCCTGTGACAGCTACAATTGCTTGAGATTTATACTGAGTTCTGCCAAAATCAGTGTTTGGTATCAACTATGACTTTGCGTGATATCCCGAGTTCTAACATAATTTGGCTTTTGTAATCAACTGTTATGTGGCTTGATAATAGAGTGTGCTGCACTACCCAACGCGTAACCTTGTCCCCCCCACCCCTCTTCTGGTTATGCCATTACCAATCGTAGGTACCCCATTTAGTATTTCGTTTGTATTTGTATTCTGGTAACCCTTGTAACCTTGTTCTTGGTTAGGCCCTATTTTTTCAACTAGAGTGGGAGTGGGCCTACGCATTATAGGGAGTATTGAGTTCTGTTGTCAAGTTGTTGAGGGGATGATCTCCTAACAGCTTAGGCTTTTGGGATTAACAGTTGCTTGGATGCCGAGTCTAGTAGTTTTCCTTTTCACTTGTAAGTGAGAGGTTTTAGGTTCGATTCTCGCCAAAGGCGAATTTGAACCATATTATTGCTAGCCCATTGTGAGGCTTTGCCCACTCTCCCACCCCCTTAGTGTAGATAATATCGTTTGTTAAAAAAAACACAGTTGCTTGGATTTGTTTTGTTTCTAGAAAATGGAGAGGTTTTATGGTTTGTTTCTGTTTCAGGAGCTGTTACAGTCTCAAGACCTCTGCATTTGTACGTATGCGGTTCCAATGATGCAATGTCGTGACTGTTTCATTCTGTTTGGAAACTTGATGAATCTGCAAACATCAGCTTCAAAGTTGGTTGTACCTTTTCATGTATTTGTTTCATTAAATTTTGGCGGTTGCTTTACTTGAGTTTCCTTCTTGTATGTTGTTGTTGCAGGTTGGATCTGATAGATGTGTGTCCTGAATATAGCTCGTCCACTGTCTCAGCTTGTTCTGTTTTACTGTAAGATGATTGTCCTTGCCCTGGCATCTGGCTCTGTTATCTTATCATTAATTAACCTTGCCCTAAATCTGGTTCTGTTTTTCATATATTTTTATGGTACGGAGCCTCTGGTTTGATTCGGTTAGTAGTCCTTGATGGTACTGATTTGGTTGTTTTACATAGGATTGCTTTGATTGGTCATTTCTTGAGGAGCGTTTCTTATTACCTTTCTAATGGATTGTTAATGTATTCAAATACTAATAGGTTTGAATCCGTTTGAAATCTAGAAGCAGTGAGAAACCACTGTCCTTGTGTGCATTACATTCTTAGAAAACATCGTGGCCTTTTGTTTTCATGGTTTCTGTGATCTTTACCAGCCCTACACTACACTTACAGATTCTTTTCATCCCTGTGATTCCAGTTTCAACACATTTACACTATCATGTTGTTACGATTATGAGTTGATAAAGTTTGACTTTTCTACCAGAATGGTGTACAAAAAATGGACGCCAACTTAGTGTCTCCCTATCCTATCCTTCTTGCCCTTCTTTTCTTTGGTGGAGTGAGGAAAGGAACGGGGTCACATGTCTAAGGTGTGTTTTCTTGTCGACCTATTGACAAAATTATTAATTTGGATGAATGTGATTCGATCAGGAGATTATAAATGTTGATCTGTTGGAATTAGAACAATGATAAAAGAGTAGCCATTTCATTAGCATTACTTAAACTGTATTCGTCTTAAGGTTGAACAATAATTAGATGACTAACTGGTTCAGAAGATTGTTGACAAAAAAATTGCTTTAAATATTGCTGTTTTTTGGCAAAGGTGTTCACAGACGGGAACCTAAAATGAGCGGGCTGGATTATTGGGCCATATTTCGGCATGTTATTAGGTTCATTATCAGTTGACAGTTAAAAGTAGTGTTTTGATACCGTGTAACTTCTGGTAAGGTTTATCTCTTAAATCCTAATGTTTTAATGTTCATTATACAGTATACACTCTTTTGACTGTGGAGTAGATGGGTTACTATTTATAATTTTATCAGATCAATTGATAGTTTAAGTTTTACAAGATTGATGTTCTGCTGATCCAACCGTTGAATCTCTCTAATCATACACATAATTCATATACACGGTAATAGGATTAGTGTTCTTAAACTATAAACGTAACCTTCATCATATGGTTGTGTGGGTGGTAAAGATCATGTGAATGGGAGTTCAACAGTAAATTCAATTTTGTTTTTTTAAAGAACAAATGCGAAAACTTATGAACTGGTGTAACACACTCTAGTTTACAACCCCAGCTGCTTTGAGTTTATGGCTAAAGGTGAACAGTGTCATGATTGATGTAAGATCTGATATTCAGACGGAGTTTAGGGTGTAAGCGTATAGGAGTTACGTTTTAAGTAGTTTTAAGGATTATGCGTAGCATGGGGTGATAAGGAATATGTAGGAATATGTATGTGTTAAAACTTACCGAGGGGTTTCCAGGAGTTTTCTATTGCATCTTATAAACATTTTATTCATCGCCATAGTTGGGGTTGTGAAAAAATGGATTTTAATTTTTTGTGAAGGGTCAGGATAAATGGGGATTTTAGGGTTTTATTAAAGAAGTGTTGAGAGGTTAAGGCTTGGACTGTAAGCCAAGTAAGGTAAGTGACTAGAAATTGAAGAACGGTTCTTTCGATCTCTGTGCGTTTAGATGTTTAATCCATCTCCCTGGGTTCTCCAAATAGGATTTGTAAGAGGTAGATGCTGCTGGAACAAACTTTCACAGGCTGGATTTTGGGTGCAGAGTGCAGAACATCAATGAAGGCAGAAGAAGATAATGAATGCAGAAAATTAAAGTTAGAAACCTCAGAATCTCATAGGCTAGGATGCTTACCTAAAAAACGTGTACAGGTAGCGTTACAGATTGATTAGACTTTTTTATATTCCAGTTGCGTTGTTTAGAAATTTGAAGCTATTGTATTTTCTACCTTGAATTTGTTTTACATATTTCAACTCTAATCCTTTCTGCTCATGGTATGTGCAGAGGCCAAAAAATTGCTCACAAATGGAAAAGAAACAAAGAACATGTGGGTTGTGATGTTATGGGTATGATGGTGAACCTGGCCGAAGCGGCTGAAGTTACCTGTGGCCTGGGTTATTGGCTTAAGAGTTACTGGGTTGTTCTATACGAGGAACTTTCAACGAAGAGATGTTAAGCTATCGACATCTTCAACATTCTGATATGCACGTTGAGTGCGTGACTTGAACATTTTTTGCCAAGTAGAGGGCACAACTTAGTCTTCAAGTAAGGTACTTATCATGTTTAAACTGTTTTAAGATGGAAATTCAGCAGTTTCCTTACATTGGTATGTTCCTCAAGATTTATTATCTGCGTAATTGTAATTGAATCCGTATGAGTGTCCGGTTGCTGAATGACAACAGAAACAAACGACGAAAAGTGCCTGCGGTGTAATTTTGCAACCGCAGTTGTCGTCGTGCTTGAACCTTGCTCCAATGGTAAATATGCGTTGCAAGTTTGCTGCCTCCAGCGCAAGTGTTTTCCAGATGATCATAATATTAGGCTTTCGTTTGTTTCATTGAATGTCTTCCAGGTTATGAGGAGTGGAATCCCCCAACTATTGTGCCGTTGCTTTACCACTCACTTTCTTGATACTTGGTAACCACTCATCTAAACACAACATCAAAGTTGGAAAGAGGTTTTAAATTCTAATCCCGACTCTTTCATCGATAAAAAAAAAAAAAAAATGAAAGATGGTATGTGGATGGCTGAAAAATTGCAATATATATATGGAGGAGATTCTACACTTGTGCTCATTTTGTAAAAAAATGTTACATACGTATATTTACACTCCAAGGTTACCTTTTACGGTGTGGACGTTCTGCTCAGGAGGATCCAGTTCCCACTTCTTAGTTGCATAATATCACTTTGTTGATGCTGGTTGGTTAAAGATTCTATACCTCTTTCCCCTCTCCCAAAAAGTGAATGTGTAGTTGGATGCCATACACCAGGCAGCACGCTAAGGGTAGGCATATCTTGGTCTGCGGGGCTTGGGTTAGGACCCATAACCCCAATCTAAAGATTGATTTTTTATTAGCTACCCAACTATGGTGGATGGGAAATCCTACTAACCCGAGGGCTTAAGGGCGCACGTTGTGTGATTTCACCCAAAGTGAACAGACTAAGACCACCATAACCTCACCTGGTTAGGCATCACTGATACAACCAATCACTTTAATGCCCTGCTTAGTTACAAGTCCACGCTACTAGACTCGGCAATATCATATCCTTGTGTAAACCCTTTTAAACATATTTAATATTTGATCTCTGTCCGATGTGGGACTTTAGCAATTATCTACTTAATAACTAGCTTCCAACTTACCAACTGTGAAATTCAAAATCCAACAGAGAGTGATGAATAGAAAGCTCTTCTCATATTAATTTCCAGGTGAGATATAAGAAAAGAAGCTTATACCGCTTTCCCATGAACGTAGCCACGTAAATTCCTTGGTACGCATTATTTCCTTTACGTTTATCTTATTTGGTTTTCTCCATTTTTGTGACGAGTAGCCCTTTGAAAATGAAGGAATTTGAGCAGAAGGTGTTATATCTACAAATTAAAATGTTTAAACCATTGAAAAGCATGTCAGTAATCTCCAGATTCCAATATCCTTCACACACCTTGCACGACTCCTACATATTTACTTCGACCAGAAGCCTTGGGACTCAAGGAACAAAAAAGTACCGATAGTACGGTGAGTTTGATTTTTTTTTTTTTCTGTAAATAGTGATGAGAATGCTGTATCCTCCTCTTCATCGGTGGCGGTGGATTATGGAGAAGAGACCGAGGAGGGAGAAGTCGCATAGTGGGAGTTGAAGAGAGAAGGGAAGAGAGTGAGACCTTTTTTTAATTCCCTTCCTTTTTTATTTCAAATTTTTCTTAATTAATTTGTAATATGTATTTAAGTTCAAACTCCAAGTGTCAGAAATTTGGTGGGCTAGAGCAATAAGTAATGTCAAGTCACCAGTTAACGAATGAGTTGATAGCAAAATTAACAGAAGTATTAAAGTAGAAGAAAATTTAAACTTAAGGTATGGAAGTGGGTCAAAAAATAAATAAGTGGAGTAAAATGAGATTTTGCGAACTTAAGAGTAATAAAATAGAAATTATCCTCATTAGAACTTTAGAATTTAAACAAGTTTTTTTTTTAGTACAGAGGAGGGCAAAAGCCCACAGCAAGCAAAACAAGAAAAACCTAGGCAAGGACGACCCTATGAAGGACATTGCCTATAATATCAAAAACTGCAAAAAATTAGTATCAATGACAGGAGGAGAAACAAAAACATGATGACCAAGGGAAGCCATAACCCAGGTCAGCCATGTGTTCTCTATAGATAGGAGTGTCTTCATACTTTGTAGTCATCTTGGCATTCTTGTTTATTGTTTTCTGTTAAGAGTATTCGTAGTTTCATACTTTGTTCATCCGTTTAGTACTTTGATTTTCAACTGGTAGATGGTATATGACTGGCCAAATATTGCTTTATTTTTTTTTATTACAAGTCAATCAAGATGTAGTCCTCAGTATGTAGTCGTCTCGGCATTCTTGTTTATTGTTTTCCAGTTAATATTATTCATAGTTTCATACTTAATTTGTTAATCTGCTCGTTTGGTAATCTGATTTTCAACTGGTATATGGTATATGACTAGTTAAAATATTGCATGATTTTTTTAAATTTTTTATTACAAGAGACATTTTACACTATGGGGGTGAAGTGAGGACGACATAGTTGCATGATATTCATCACTTTGATTTTCCACTGGTAGATGGTATATGTCTAGTTGAAAATTATATTGCATGATATTTTTTAATTTCTTATTGCAAGAGACAATTTACACCATAGGGGTGAACTCAGGACGACGAAGAAAGATTGAATGATATACATCACTTTGATGTGGGTTACAAAAAGTGAATGTGTAGTGAGATGCCACACACCAGATAGCACGTTGAGGGTATGCATATCTTTGCTCTGCTGGGCTTGGGTTACAACCCATAATCCCAATCTAAAGCAAGTTTTTATTAGCTACCCAACCATGGTGGATGGGGGACCCCACTAACCTGAGGGCTTAAGGGCGCATTATGTGTGATTTCACCCAAGGATGAACAGAACAAGACCGTCATAAACTCACCTAGTTAGGTTTCATCAAGGCAACCAAGCTCTTTAATGCCTTGCTTAGTTACAAGCTCACGTTACTAGGCTCAATGATGTTATAGCATTGAATGTCTTCTAGGTTATGAGGAGTGGAATCTCTTAACTATTGTGCCGTTGCTTTACCACTCACCTTCTTGATACTTGGTAACCACTCATCGAAACACAACATCAAAGTTGGAAAGAGGTTTTAAATTCTAATCCCGACTCTTTCATCGATAAAAATAAAATAAAAAATGAAAGATGGTATGTGGATGGCTGAAAAATTGCAATATATATACGGAGGAGATTCCACACTTGTCCCAAAAAGTGAATGTGTAGTTGGATGCCATACACCAGGCAGCACGCTGAGGGTAGGCATATCTTGGTCTGCGGGGCTTGGGTTGGAACCCATAACCCCAATCTAAAGCAAGTTTTTATTAGCTACCCAACCATGGTGGATGGGAAACCCTACTAACCCGAGGGCTTAAGGGTGCACATTGTATGATTTCACCTAAGGTGAACAGACTAAGACCACCATAACCTCACCTGGTTAGGCATCACCGATACAACCAATCACTTTAATGCCTTGCTTAGTTACAAACCCACGCTACTAGGCTCGGCAATATCATATCATTGTGTAAACCCTTTTAAATATATTTAATATTTGATCTCTGTCCGATGTGGGACTTTAGCCATTATATATTTAATAACTAGCTTTCAACTTACCAACTGTGAAATTCAAAATCCAACAGAGAGTGATGAATAGAAAGCTCTTCTCATATTAATTTCCAGGTGAGACAGTAGCCTTAGAGATTAAGTATTCTCTCGTTGTACCCTTATTCGACGTAAGAAAAGAAGCTTATACCGCTTTCCCATGAACGCAGCCACGTAAACTCCTTGGTATCCATTATTTCCTTTACGTTTATCTTATTTGGTTTTCTCCATTTTTGTGACGAGTAGCCCCTTGAGAATGAGGGAATTTGAGCAGAAGGTGTTATATCTACAAATTACAATGTTTAAACCATTGAAAAGCATGTCAGTAATATCCAGATTCCAGTATCCTTTACACACCTTGCACGACTCCTACATATTTACTTCGACCAGAAGCCTTGGGACTCAAGGAACAAAAAAGTACCGATAATACGGAGAGTTTGATTTCTGTAAATAGTGATGAGAATGCTTTATCCTCCTCTTCATCGGTGGCGGTGGATTCTGGAGAAGAAACAGAGGAGGGAGAAGTCAGTCGCATAGTGGGAGTTGAAGAGAGAGGGGAAGAGAATGAGAGGCCTTTTTTTTTTTTTTTTTTCTTCAAATTTTTCTTAATTAATTACTTTGTAATATTTATTTGGGAGACTTTGGATGCGGTCCCTAGTTATGAATAGTCTTTGACTGAAACCTTGTTGGTTTTCAATTTTTGATCCAAGTCCCTGAAATTAATTGATAATTTATTTCTATGTACGTTACTATATTTTTTTAATTAAAAATTAAAATTTATAGTTGTTTATAGTAATGAGATTTTAAATAAAAAACCATAATTTGTGGGATTAAAAATATTAAAATATAAATATACTATTGTGTGTGTGTGTGTGTAAACATGGGTACATTCATAAAAAATAACCAAAAAATTATTGTATCAAAACATGGGTACATTCTTCAAAATTGGTACATTTAGCAAAAAAAAAATGGGTACAAAAAATAAAAAAAATATGGGTACAATACAAATAAAACTTTAAAAAATATGGGCACAAAAAGAAATTAATATATGGGTACAAATTAAAAACTGAAAGGAAAATTGGTACAAATTAAAAAAGGGTTGCAAATTAAAAATGGGTACAAACTAAAAATAAAAATATATGATAAAAAATTTAGCCATAAATATAAATATACTAATTGTAACATTTTTAATATTAAATGAATATATTTAGAAATAAAAAATATTTTATTATTGAAATAATTAATTATATTATTAATACAAAGGACCTTGATCAAAAATTGAAAAGTAATAAGGTTTTAATCAATAGAGTAGTAAAAATAAGGATGAAAACCTAATTACTCCTATTTATTTTAAGTTGAAACTCTAGGTGTCTGAAATTTGGTGGGC